CTTGCTTCCCTCCTGGACGATTGGGAGCAGGGGGAGGAAGGGTGACTGTCCTCTATAGTTGATGAAGACTTCCCAAACTCTCCAGCTCCCTTGGCCATCAACCCCGTGTTGGCTCTTTCTCCCAGGAAATCCTTTCTTAGACTCCCATGTTTCTAAGGTGGCTCTGTGTCCTAACTCTGCAGGTCCAGCTGTAACCCATCTCTATGCTTGCTAACTCCAGCACCCATATCTGAACCGAGAACCTTTGAGAAAATCTTGTAAGGGATACTAGCTGCATCCTCAGCTCTTGATCACACACACAGAGTGTTGCAGAGCACTAGACCCTTTGGGCAGGGCCTGCCTATGAGTAGGTTTGACCGTGGGAGTTCTGAAAGGCAGGAGATAGGTGAATCGATGCATGGGCTTGTGTGTTTGTGGGGAAAGGACATGTAAAGGGTCCTGAAGACAAAAGGGAGGTCTTTCTCTGTTTCCATAAATGACCGCTTCCTCTCTGGAAGGAGGAACTCTTTCTTTACGATGCATGGATTGCTGCACCCTTGCTCTGGCATCTGAGGCACACAGGTGCTCTCTTGTGCAAGCCCATTTCCTTGGTTTGATTGCATCCACCTGCCATCTTCAGGGAAGGCCTTTGTACCTTCACAGCTGCCTTCATTTCCCTCCATTAGGAAGCTGACTTGAGTCTGTGTGATAGGGAGGAGGATCTCCACTCCTCTGATGGAGTTCCAGCCTGCTCTGGGCATGCTCTTTCCTAGACTTTAGGAAGGAGGACATGGCTGAGCCTGTGTGAGGATGTCTGTGGTGCCTCACTCAGCACTGTTATTCCCATCCTTCCTCCTGTCCTGGGAAATGCACTTCCAAGTGTTGTGTCTTCCTCCTGGTATGCGTTCCGAGGCTCACTCGGGCTTCTCCTCCCTTGTCACAGCGGTGAGTCCAAGAGCACCCTTGCTTCTGAGGGGGACTTGGTGTGATGAGCAAGTCCCATGAGGTATGTGGATGTGCTTGGTGTTCAGTCAGTATGTATGGCCCAAGCTGGAGTTGTGGCATGGGTATGGTGAGGAATTAGCAAATATTTGTGTCCTCAGGATTTGCCTTTGTTTATTTTTAGTCGTCCCAACTTAATATAAATGGTTAATACCCTAAGTGTGGAATGGCCACTTTTTTCCTGTAAAAACATGCTGGTTCTGGTATTTTGAGAGCTTAAGGGGTACTGAGAGAGGTGAGAAGACAAAAAAAAAGAAGGGCATGTTAATTTCTGCAGAGTAGTGCTTTATTTCTGAGGTTTTGAATACCCCTCGAGCATACCTACCCTGCTTGGAATGAAAGCTTGAGTAAACTTGTGTGTTTGTGGGTGGGTTGGATATGAATAGTCCCCTTATAGAAAAGGCACTGGAAGGCTTTATGACAGTTTTGGAATGAAATGAAGCCTCCTTTGTTAGGCAAAGGCTTAAAGAAAGCCCTTGAAGCAATATTGGATGGCATCTGCTCATGGGGATGACTGCTCCTTCTCTTTGCCTTCATCTTCTGTCTGCAATTGCATACAATTTCCCCAGGAAACCTTTTGGCCTCTAATACAGTCACTTGAAAGGACATGTATGATGGAATGGACACGTCTTTAAGGTGGAAATGAAAAGGCAATGTTGCAGGGAACAAAAACCAATGTCCCATTTCCTTAATTGAGGCTTCTTGCGTGCCAGATGAGCATGTTGGTAAACAGATGACATGCACAGAGGGTGTCTCTGGGCCCCAGGCATTTGAACGAGTATAAAAGGCAGCCCAGCTCCAAGCTCTCTCATCCACTCCTCTTGCCTTCTCCTCCTTGGTGAGCAAGGTGAGCTGAGATCCTCTCTGCTTCTTTCTCTTCTTTTTCCTCTGTCTTCTTTGTTCTGTGTGTTTCCATGGAGTTCCTGCCTTGCTGCTTGTTTTCGTATGAGCCTTGCTACTTTGTCTTGCTCCTTTTTCTTGACTCTCAGCCATTGGCAGGGGACTTGGGAGAAGGTCTTGTGCTGCCTTCTCAGGGGAACCGATGGGCCTCATCTGTGAAAACTCTCCTCCTTTTTGTGCATCTTCTCCCTGCTCCACAGCTGATGCCTTTTCCCTGGCTCTCCCTGTGCTCCGGCTGCTCCTCACACGCTGCCCGTGTTTTCGCTGCCCTCTCTTCCAGGCGCCCCTACATCCCGCAGACATGGCCTGCTTCGCACTGTGCCGATCTGTGCCGTCCCTGCGGACCAACCCCCCTGGCCAACAGCTGCAACGAGCCCTGTGTGAGGCAGTGCCAGGACTCCCGCGTGGTCATCCAGCCCTCTCCCGTGGTGGTCACCCTGCCCGGCCCCATCCTCAGCTCCTTCCCGCAGAACACCGCCGTGGGATCCAGCACCTCCGCTGCTGTTGGCAGCATCCTGAGTGAGGAGGGAGTCCCCATCTCCTCCGGGGGCTTTAGCCTCTCTGGCCTGGGTGGCCGCAGCTTTGGAAGGAGGTGCCTGCCCTACTAAATTGTGCGTGGACGGCCCGTGAGCCCCTCAAGCAGGAACCCCAAAGCAGGGGGTGCTGGACTGAGGACGCAGCTGCTGGCCACAGTTTCCCCATGGGATGAGCATCCTTGTGTCCTCCTGCAAAGGAGGCAGGCAAGCAAGGCTGCCCGCCTGTGATGCCTGGAAACATGGCCAATGGATGTGCTATTCTTTAAATTTCTGCTTTTGATGACTTTCCTTGTATCTGTGATTTTCATTTTTAATTTGTCTTGGTATGTTGCAGTTCTTTTAAGATGTCATTGGTGGGATTTTACTCAGGAATTAACAAAAAGCAGAGTCTTCCTTTACTATCTCTCGGGTTTAATGATATAATTGGCTTCACTCCTTTTATTTTGCAGAATGCATTATAATTTTCTTTGTAATTAAACTAATATGGCATCCTCATTTGAGTCTCACTGTATTTGTTTTTCTCCTCCCCTTTTTTTATTTTCAACACCTTTTTGTGAAGTTTTCCATTTTATGGAACAGCTAGGCAAGGTGGAAGGGCTACTTGGTGGAAGCTATCGATCAAACAGACTGCAGGAGTCAGTCCAAATGAAGGAATTGTGTTATTTACACTGTTCCTGATGAGTTCAAGAGCTTTCCATAAATATTCTACTTCACATCTATGGCCTTATTTTCTTCTTTCAGTTTGAAGGGGCTTTGATTGTGTCATTCATTTGACATCTTTGAAATGCTAACAACTTGAATGTGGCATGTAGAAGTTCTAGAAATAGCATTTACTTGAGAAAGCCTTTTTTTTATCCCTTAATCAGATGGGATACCACTCTTTTCAGCTTTAAAACATGACATACTTTCTGAAATATTTGCTGTGGTCTTGACTCACTTTCAAAGATGAAGTGATTGTTCCAATCTCAGCAGCGTAATAAGACATTTGCATGCCTGGACCATTAGTAACTTTTGTGATGGACTTTGAAGTCCTCTGTTCTTCCAGGCCTGAATTCAAGCACAGTAATACTTAGTCTCTAGGTAATTCACATTGGAACACCAGTAATGAAGAGGAAAAATGTACATGAATGAGCAATCTGAAATATTTCCAGATATATCCTTGATACTTGAAGCTTTTCAGGCCTTTCCACAACTTTAGTAAAATAGACTTAGAAGGCAATTTTTGATCAGAGACCTGCCTCTGTCTAATATCTATCACTTATCACTTTACCTAGTTGTAGGCACCGTCATTGTTGCCTCAAGCTACCATCTTAAAGAGGTGCTATCCTACCCTAAGTCATGGAACGGCCTGGAAAGCACACATGTCTATATGGTACTCTGACCACAGAATTTGCATGATAGAAGCAATTAATATTTATCCTGATCTCCAAGAAATCATTTGTCTTGCTCTGATACAAACCATCAGAACTTTCTGATGACAGTAAGGCATTTTTCTGTGATACAAATGAAAATGACATAAAAAAACATGAGGAGTATAGAAATGAGGTTCAGGAGGATGAACTAACTAGGCCTGTGTGGCCTGTGGCCTTTGTCCGCCAAACTCGTGTATTCGAAGGTGCCTTCATGGTGTTTGTTGTGGAAGTGAAACGTCTTCTCTCCTGTGCCTATGCTGCTAATAATAATTTTAGAAGTGTCTTAGAGCTAAGGCTACATGGAGACACAGAGCATTTGTGCAGGAAATCAAGTCTTTAGTAAATGTGCTATTAATTTGAAAGCTACATTCCCTTTGCAAGTCAAGATCAGAGGAACAGATACACTAAGAACTTCTTCCCAAATTCTCAGTCTGCTTGGGACTACTGAGACATCCTTTCTTTGCGTGAATTAATTAGTTCCCACATATGCTTTTTTCAGTTTGTTTGGTTTTTTTTTTTTTGATAATGAAATTGTTTTGTTTTTGTTTTCCAGTCTAGGTTCATCCTGGCTTTGCATGAGAAGCGTGCTGGGCCTATTAAAAAGCTTTCATCTTCAGAATTTGTGGGTACTTTTGTGGGTAGATTGAGAGTACAATCTAAAAATCATATTCAAGGCACTCTGTGTGCAGTTCCATCCCTGACCCAGTTAAGAGCAATTGCCAGTCTCTAGTCTGGTCTCTGCTGAGATCTCCATGTCTCCTAGATGAGCTCTTTGAGCCAGTACACCCAGTATGGAGCCACGTCACTGTCAGGAGACAGTTCGTGAGTCTTTTTGAAAATGCTAGTGGTCTTTGATGAGATTGTTTGAAAACATGACATCCTGAACCATAGAGAAGCTCTCATATTAATAGAAGAAAGCAGAACAAAAGTGTTGAAAACTTCTGTGGATGTTGTTGCAAGTTTTACAGGCAAGTTAATTCTCGAGGTTGCCCATAAGTACCTGTTGTTACAGAAAAATATGTTTCAAATACAATTTTGCCAAGTGTTTATGGCCTGACAGAGTTGTTCAGACCTGGAAAGGACGTGAATTTTTTTAATGTCAGTTAGTCACTTTAGCTAATGCCACTGAAATACAAAGAGCAGCTGAAAATCTGCAGAAGATGAGTGTGTGCATTGTTAATGAAAGATATAAAGCATTTTGAAGCTCCACCCAGGGAGCTTTCTGCTGCTATCAGTATTTGATGAAAGAGTGATTTTTTTCTTTTTCTTTTCTTTTCTTTTTTTTTTTTTAAAAAACATGGAGATCTGATTCTTTCTTGAAGACTCCTGTGGGATTTCACATGTATGTATGCCTGTGTGTCTTTGCAGGACCCAAAAAGAAGCGTATATGTTCTTATTGTGCTCAACTGGAGTCACACCTTTATCAACATTGGTGGAGTTTATTAAAGATTTAAAGGTGTACTATCCATAGGAGGAAAAAAAAATGAATGATAAATCATATATCTTAGGAAACTTCTTAGGACTTCTTCCTAAGCTTCATCTTGGTGAGTAGCACAGGAATAGTTTTGGCCTATAATGCCATAAGATCAGAGAAACTTGTATGATGAAATATGCATGTCTGTCTGAAGACCAGGAAATGAAAACAAAGTAGAGAAGAGTGAGGAGAAGATATTTAATCAGTTGGAAGCGTTTTGCATTAGGGACTACTTGTTTGTAAGTAATTTCAGGCTCAAAGTGTGTCTGTGGTCCTCAGGCCATCAGAGATGCAGTATAAAAGCTACCTCAGCTCAGGATTCTTCCTTCCACTTCTCTTACCCTTTTCTGTTTGGTGGACAAGGTTGGTTCAAATCTCCTTCTTCTTTATGTACTGAATTCTTGCTGTCATAACAATAGGTTGCACTTTTTGGTTTTTTTTTGTTTGTTTGTTCTAGGTGCTGGACTGTAGTGAGGGGAGACTTCTTCCATTAAAAAAAAAAATACTTCTTTGGTGCTTGAGTTGCAGGTATTTCTGGAGGTCAGCCTTGACCACACAGATCTTTGAAATGTGGATATAAATTTAGTCAAATATGAGTATTCAACTGCATTAAGTGACTTAGCAAATTCCAATACTATTAATATTAGAGATTAACAAACTGAATAGCCTGACCTATGTGCTCAGCCATCTTTAAAGGAATAAGTTGCATTTTATATCTTTAGGGGCCACCGTCACTACCAGTAAATTTTGCAATTTCAGCCGAGTTGATATGAACAGAAAACTGCAGTGTTTATAAGGGATATGAATACATTTGTCTTCAGAGATTTCATCCAGAACTGCATTCCATGCTATTTATTCCATGCTTTCTTCCCATAGAAAGCTTCCTTGGTGTTCCCATTTTGATTATGATGGATCTAATATTGGGCATAGGAGGAAACAGGAAGGTTAACATGAATAAAATGCCAGAAGAAACAACTGATGAACAACGAAACTAGGAAGGACTGAGGTTTTAGAAAACAATTATGTAGAACTATAAGTTTTCAGCCATTCAAAATACTAAACCTAAGGTCACAGATCACTAATCAGGATCTGAGAGCTATTTCAGCTTTCCTCTTCTTATTGAATAGCTCTGAAGTCACTTACCTTCAATATTCGACTCAACGTGACTTATACAGGTCCTTATACTGTGGTGCTTGAATTGGATTAACCCAAGTGTGGTGCGGTGCCTCTGCTGCATGTGTTTCTGGTTCTGTATTTCAGCTTTACCTCCATCCCGCAGACATGTCCTGCTACGAACGCTGTCCTCCCACCCCCTGCGGCCCAACCCCCCTGGCCAACAGCTGCAACGAGCCCTGCGTGCGGCAGTGCCAGGACTCAACCGTGGTCATCCAGCCCTCTCCGGTGGTGGTCACCCTGCCCGGCCCCATCCTCAGCTCCTTCCCACAGAACACCACTGTGGGATCCTCAGCATCCGCAGCTGTTGGGAGCGCTCTCAGCACTGAGGGAGTTCCCATCTCATCTGGTGGCTCCTCAGGATTGGGGAGCTTGGGCTATTCAGGCTTAGGCAGTGGGTACAGCCGGCCCTACCGTCGCTACAACACCTACCGCAGTGGCTTCTATGGGCCGTGCTGAAGTTCTGAAGACGATGTGAGAAGGAAGGACCAGAAATACTGAAGCAGGACCTGGACGCAGGACGGAGCTCATGGCCATGGTTTGCAGACAAGGTGTTGGGTGCCCACAACTCCCGCTGCCATTAATGGAACTATGAGAGCTTGGCATCACTTAAAATCAGGCCCCTCCTCTTGTTATACTGCTTTATATTTCTGCACAAGGATGTGGCTCTGCTGTGCATCACTGCGTTTGATAGTGCCTGGTTTAGAACTTAAAATTTAGACGGTAGAATGGACTTGATTGTCAAGGCAAAATGCTCCACTGAGAAGGGTCCTGTTTGTGGCACATATCACCATGAGATATGTCATTCTTGCCAAATTAAAGCCTGCTGCTTTGCACTTTTTATGCTGCTCTTTGGTGTTATTAAAGTTCCCCTTTACTAAATCCCACGTCTTCTCTTATTTTTCTTTCCCTTCTCCTTCCTTTTGTATCTTTGGGAGAAATTCATCACTGTGTAGATGACCACTACAAAGCATAAAGGCGAAATGAATGCTACACTAAAGAGAGTTGAACAGGATACATTCAGAATTCACAGTTGAGAAAATACTGTATTATGCAGCTGAAATCTAGTTTTATACATTAAAAAGCTTTAGGAAGCTCCTGGGTAAAGTATTCTCTGTGAAAGTAAGGACATGCGATTAAAAAAAACAGAATTCACACATTCATTGTGGATACTAAAGCAACAGATCTCCAGGAAATTCTGAAGATGTTCTGATTTTTAGGGAGGAGTTGAGGCTTTTTTATACTTCAAACAATTCTGGCTATCACACAAATGTTGTTGTTGGATAAATTGTCCCCAGTAGTTAAATTGTTTTGTTTATGGTTTATGTTCCAGTCTGGTCGCATCCTGACATCAGATGAAAAGCCTTCTTCAGAGGTCCTTTCATCTCAGACACTTATGGATCATTTGAATGCTTTGTACTATTTTACAGTCACACCTCTGAAGTTAACATAAGAGTGACACAAATTTCCATTCATGTAAGTAATTTGTCATCTCTTCTGCAATTTACTAGTTCCCCAGCCTCTTATGAATGCAATCTGTTGGTTAGCAAGGTGTTTTAATTAAGAGTCTGGACTGTGAAACCTCATTAGTGATTTATAAGGAAGCTGTTACGTTTTGGTTGACCATCTTTAACCCCAAAGAGCAAGATCCAAAGACTTCCAAACTTTTTCATAAAATCCAAATGCCACTTCAGCTAAACTGGCAGACTATCAATGAAAATATGTCTAGATCTTTAATGAGTCTCTTTCTGAAATATTATATGCCCTCCAAGAAGAGCTTTTTATCTTCCCAGAGGGAAAAATGGAGGGAAAGTTCACATTCTTTAGCTATCTTTGCATAGATGTAAGGGGAAGGAATTCTCAGTGAGTCATAGCGTCCACTTTCCGTAAGGAAACAATTTTAAAATGTATAAAGACTACAAGAAGTACACTGGATAGCAGAGATTTTGGGGAAACAAGAGAGCAGTGGCTCTAATAAAAAGAAGGTAAGTTTCTATTAAGAGTCATTAGAACATGATGTCCTAGGAATCTGCAAAAGATGAAGCTCTTTTTTAATATATATAATCTTATGACAATTTGTAATAAAATAAACTTTCCCATTTTGGGACTTGATCTTGAGTCACATACTTTCAGCTTAGCTGACGTTAGCATCCTGTCGCGTCCCATGGACATTAGGCAGCATGAAACTTTGCAGTTCTGAGCCATTAGGGAAACCCTGGACATTGGAGGGCTCTGTTCTTCTGAAGCTAAAGACACCCTTCATTTAGCATTAATTCACATCTCTTGCTGGGGGGTTGTGGCGCCTAGGGTGACCTGATTCCTTGTCTTTGCATACTTCCCATTTGTGCCAGCATTTCCAGTCATCTGGAGTGCAGCCAGCATAGGCCATTCTGGCTGCAGAGGGGATGCAAATCATGTCCTGATAATGGCAAATTTCTGGGTGTAACTTGTCCTGACATCGCAGTTTAGTTTAGTTCTGTCTCTAAGAACCAATACTCAAATGCTATCTTAACATACGCATTCATATTCAATTTGACATGAAAATTGCTGCACATTCCTATGGCTTCCTGGGGTTTTAAGCATGAGTAATGGTGATTCCTCACATGAAAGCCTGCATGGAAATCAGATCCAGAATTAGAGGCAGTTAATAAATGTCCCAAAGTAATAGGATTGACTCAGCAAACTCTCTCATTAAAATGTGATTGCTTGTCACCTTAAAGAGGAACAAGCAGATAAAATTTTGATTAGGTTAAAAAAAAATACGTTCTTACATATGTTTGCATTAGCTGTGTTTATACAGACTTGAAAAAACATGAGTTAGCTTGAGCAGATCTAGAAAGTGTTGTATCTCTGATCAGAATTTCCTTGGCCTTTGCAATACTCATGGAAATTTGGTTCTTTTCTGAATTGCGTGGGATTGAAATGGTGCAGATGTATAAAAATTGGGAATATCTGTTATACATCTAGTCTTGTGGTCAGGCTGAGTCCTTGAAATGCAAATGCTTAGGAATTGAACTCAGTCCTGTTGAGGACATGATCGTTCACCTAAAGGAGTGAAGTCTTGAGTAAGGACATTGCGTCGCACATGCTCTTGTTAAGCTGTGTCCTGAAGACCAAAATGAAACATAAGTAGCCCATTGGCCTTAGGAGGCAATATAATTATTGCTGCAGTTCAGATGAATCATCACAGTATTCCAAAGAATTAGGAGAGTGCATAAGGTTGAAGATGAAAGATGTCTGTGGTGGAATGTAATAAGTGAGGGGAAAAACAGAGAAATACAAAATGATATTCTAAAATAAAATGTTTAACTAGCTTGGTAGATTTTGCATGCAAAAGTACTGATCATTAAATAATTCCATGCATAATCCATGTTTCAGAACCTCAGGCAGTCTGGATAGAGTATAAAAGCCTATACAACCCCAGACTCTTCCATCCACTTCTCTTGCCTTTTTCGCCCTGGTGAAAAGGTAAGTCTGAACCTAGCATTGTCTTTTTAATGTTAAGTTTTTACTTTGATGACTACTTTTATTTTGTCCTTAGTTCTTGATAAATATTAGAGGGTTGCTAGCTTTTTCTCTTTTGGGGAAGAAAATTAGAAAGGTTTACTTCCTTCAAAAAGAAAGGAATAATTCATACAGGGCATGCTGATACAGGACTTGGAGCATCCAGGCAAGAACGACATTCCCGAAATAAGCAGCTTCATGATCCATTCTAGAGGCCAGTCAAAACTAGAAATAAAAGGGCCTGGATGGAAATATGAAGTCTCATTTTCAGAATCTGTAACTATTCTGAATTCCTGAATCTATCTAAACTTCTCTTTTCCATGGACAGGAAAATGTTTATTCCAGTAGACTCAATTTCATCAGACTCTAACTAGGGTAGAAACTTCTGATCTGGAAAAAAAAATCCTTTCCCCGCTCCAGATTTACCTGTTCAGTTCCATTTATAAGATGTCTGGGAGCAAAGAACTTCTCTTAAACATGATTTTTTACAAGGCTCCCAGTGCTCTTGGCTGAACAAAATTCCAATGTTGGGATAAGGGACAGTGCTGACAAAGAGAAAGGGAAACCAGATTGCTCTATGTTATTTTCAAACTACTGTGTTTTTTGTCTAATAAGTAATTACCACTCTCTATAGTTACTTTTCAAATATGTTACCTAGGCAGCTGACAGCTTTAACACAGATTCTATATTGCACTTGATTTCTTCCCTTTTTCAGCTTTACCTGCATCCCGCAGACATGTCCTGCTATGATGTGTGTCCTCCTGCCCCCTGCGGCCCGACGCCGCTGGCCAACAGCTGCAACGAGCCCTGCGTGCGGCAGTGCCAGGACTCGACCTACGTCATCCAGCCCTCTCCGGTGGCGGTGACCCTGCCCGGCCCCATCCTCAGCTCCTTCCCGCAGAACACGGCCGTGGGATCCTCCACCTCTGCGGCCGTTGGGAGCATCCTCAGCGCCGAGGGAGTTCCCATCAACTCCGGTAGCTCCTTGGGATTGGGGAGCTTGGGCTATTCGGGCTTAGGCAGTGGGTTCAGTCAGCCCATCCGTCGCTACAACGCCTACCGCAGTGGCTTCTATGGGCCATACTGAAGCTCTGGAGAAGATGCAAGAAGGAAGAACCAGAAATACTGAAGCAGGACCCGGATGCAGGATTGAGATCATGGCCGTGGTTTTTGGACATAGTGCTGAGTGCCCACAACTCCCCCTGCCATTAATGGAATTGTGAGAGCTTGGCATTGCCTAAAATCAGGCCTTTGTTTGTTTTACTCTTTTTATGCTTTATATTTCTAAAGAAATGTTTGCTTTTCTACTGCTGTTGCATGGACTTGGTTGCCAGAGCAGGCTGAAAAAAGAAGAGACCCAGGATGAAAAGGCGTATTAGTGCTTTTCTTATTGAAGCCTGGAAATATATCCCTTATACTTCACACTTTTTTATTCTACTTTTCATAATTAAAGTCATGTTGCATCATAATCTAAGTCTTCTGGTGTTTGTTCGGTCTGTAGTCCCAACTAGCAGCTTGCACTAGATAAAATTTCTTACTGTTTCAAGGTTTTCTTTTTTAAATGAAAGTTACTTTTCTTTTTATTTCACATTGATCACATATAAATAATCTGGCTCACTGCCTATATTCCAAGAGATCGTTTCCATAAGATGTGCTTTTCCAGATCAAGAATTTGCTGCATAATACTGATTTAGAGGAAGCCTCTTTACCTCCATGGTAAGAACCACACTAAACCTGTCCCTGCAGAAATACTCCACCAATCTGCATGCAGTAGTTAGTTACATTTATTTTTTCACAAAGGGAGGAATTGTAACATAAATTGTTTAAGATTATTAGATCACAGTAAGATGCAAAAACAAACCTCAAACTTTGATTATTTTTAAGTTCTTCTTAACAATATTCGAATAACATTCACAATGAACAATACTATCATGAGGTAGCAGCCCTGGAGATCATTTACAGCGTATGGGATTTGGGGACGTCTGTCTTCAGGGACGTGTAGCTGGGAGGTTCAAGTCCCAGATTCTGCCTCTACCAGAGATCTTAGATGGGGCGTACGGGACATCTTATTCTGTGTCTGGGCTCAAGCAACAATGCAGCAAACAATACATGAGGGACTTGCAATACAAACAACAACGTTATGCAGAGGTACCCAGCCTGAAGCTGAATAAAAGGATTATTTTGTATTTTCCAAGCAGAACTTGGGAAAAACAAACAAACAAACAAAAACTCCCAACTTCACTCCCCCAAAATCCCAACTTCATTCCCAAATCTTATATAAGCAATAAGAGAGTTTAAGTCTGTGTCACATATCTTAAATTTCTGCATAATATGATATCTGGCATGTTTAGAGCTTTAATAAAATTTTGTGATAAGCTTGGAAGTTCTCAGATCATGAGGAGCCTATGACCAAGCCAAACCAGATTCTGTTCCCAGGGGATCTTAACAAAGACGCTTATAATTTAGAGATGATTTACATGTCTCAGTAGTTAAAATGCAAGGAGAGAAAACACCTGAGTACTGATCTCAGTACCAAGGATGGTTTATGTTTTTTAGCCCTTTACTATTCATTCCAAGTCCTCCTTGGAGAAAAAGTTTTATTTCTATAGGTTGCACAATGCAGAAAACAGAGCAAAGTGGCAGAAAAGACGATACCAAGCGAAGAAATTAGAGCCAGTCTGAGAGAATCGTATATTCATAAAATTTGTGCCTCAGAAATTTCCACAGAAGTACAATATTTTGATATTATCCCCTTAGACTGGGCTTATATTCTTTTGTTTCTTCTTCCATGTCAAAAAAGCAATGTCTTAAAGGTTCTCTGATTATACCACAGCTTTTTGATTCCTCATTTTCTGCCCGTTCTCACTGTGCAGCTCCTTTTCTGAGCTGCATTTACATTGTGCTTGTGTTTCTGGTCATTTTCTGGAAAACTCCCTGTCTCTCCTCTTCCCTAAGGGCCCAAATCCCCAAATGAGGTGTGCGTCTACGTTGACACCCAGCTCATTAAAAGCTGAAATACTATATGATTTGCAAGCTGTATTTACCTTGGAGAGAAGGGCTGGTGCAAGGGACTGCATTATGTAAACTCTGCTTAATCCCCTTTAATGACACCAGACAGGTCCCAAAGGGTTTTGAAGGCAGAATAAATTCTTCTGAATTAATCATCCAATGTTACCAGAAATTAACTTGGGCCAGAATAGTTTAAGATGAAAGAAACTTGTGGTCAGATATACATGCCTCAAGATAAGGAAGTAAAACAGTATTAAACACAAATATTGAGGTAAAAATACATGTAATCAGAACTGGCTCATAAATAACTTCATGCACAAAGAACGTCCCAAGCTGTTGGGCAACTTGTGAGGCAGTATAAAAACCTGAGCAACTCAAGGCTCTTCCATCCATTTCTCTTGCCTTCTTGCCTTGGTGAATAAGGTAAGTCTGTATCCATCTATTCTCTTTCTACAATGCAAATTTTTACCTTGATAATTTCTAGTTTTATAACTTTTGCTCTATCATATTGTAGCATATTTATCTTTTTGCGCTGAGTGAGGTAATTGGAAAGAGTTTTTACACAAAAGGGGAAGTTCTGCCCCAGTGGGAAGTTATGAAATGTGCTGAGCGGGGGGGTTCAGAGACAAGCTAGCCAGAGAGGTTCTTCTAATCACATTTGTGACCCAAACAAGTCAGCAGGTCTTAGAGCTGAACAAAAGAAATCAGCAGGGAGGTCTTGGGTCCATCCAGAATGTGGAAAAACCATCTAAGCTAGAAGTTCACCAGAACAAGTGTCCTCATATGCTGACCAATACTGGCTCTTAATTCTTTGCCATCGTAGGTCACTAGAAGTCCAAATTTGAAAGCAATTCTCACTCCATACATGTCTTGGAGACTTAGTTCATGGTTCATATTCAGGCAAGGAGAGACCTTTAGTACAAACAATTCTGGACCGATTTCCACTGCAGCTTCTGAGACCTGCTGAAAATGCCAGTATTAATAACAAGCCACAGGAAACAGAAGTGTCCCTGAGCTCAGATACCTGCTCTTCCATTTCTTATTAAAGATACTTTGAATGCCTCAACTTTTATTTTTCATTTCCCTTGGGAGATCAGACTGAGATAGAACTTGTGTGAGAGGACCTGGTAGGAAGGGAGTGGGAAAGGCTGTGTCAATGCTAGGTGGGATGTTTGTCATCGTGCGCTGTTGAGTGAACAGGTGAGCTTGCTTCAGGAATAATAAGCCAGGTCTTACCCATTCCAGCTGAGCACTATCATCCGAAGGCTGCAGAGTCCACCTTCATTTCTCTAGGAGACAGAGCTCTAATAATTTTCCTGCGCTCCACCACAACCGCAAGGGCAGTGCTGAAAGTGCCCTTTCCCAGAGTAGCGTTATGGCCATGTGGTTAGGGCACCCTCTGCAAAGTGAGAGAAGAGGTTTTCAGCACCAGCACATTCCCCAGTTCCTGCGTGAGTTCCCTAACCACGGAGGCCTCAGGGTAAGTTACCGCCTGCAATTCACCAGCTCTACGTCCCCTAACAGTCACCAGACTGGATGAAAATGCAAATTCAACCCTGTTTTCAAACTACTTGCTCTGAATCTGGAGCTAAAATATCCTGCTTCCCATGTAATCTCTTGTTTGTTTGCTACATACTCCCCATATCATAGTATTTCAGCTGTATAAATAGAGCTTAAATACAATTCCCATATTGCATTTGCTTCTTTTTCTGTGTTTCAGATTTACCTCCATCCCAGAGAGATGTCCTGCTATGATGTGTGTCCTCCCACCCCCTGCGGCCCAACACCGCTGGCCAACAGCTGCAACGAGCCCTGTGTGAGGCAGTGCCAGGACTCAACCGTGGTCATCCAGCCCTCTCCCGTGGTGGTCACCCTGCCCGGCCCCATCCTCAGCTCCTTCCCGCAGAACACCACTGTGGGATCCTCAGCATCCGCAGCCGTTGGGAGCGCTCTCAGTACTGGGGGGGTCCCCATCTCCTCTGGTAGCTCCTCAGGATTGGGGAGCTTGGGCTATTCAGGCTTAGGCAGTGGGTACAGCCGGCCCTACCGTCGCTACAACACCTACCGCAGTGGCCTCTATGGGCCATGCTGAAGTTCTGAAGACGATGTGAGAAGGAAGGACCAGAAATACTGAAGCAGGACCCAAGAAACAGGATGGAGCTCATGGCCATGGTTTTTGGATATGCTGTTGGAGCCCACATCTCCACTGGCACTTAATGGAACTGTGGGAGCTTGGCATTGCTTAAAATCAGGCCTCTGCTTGTCTTCTGTAACACTTTACCTTATATTTCTGATCACGTTTCGTTTGCTTATACTTTGTTGTATTTTACAATGACTTGGCAAAACATGGAAATCTTGGCAGTTGTTCTGCACAGCTGACCTGATACAGTCCACTTAGACAAAGAAAAGGAAGATTACATTTTGTTGAGTGTCATTGTGGAAGGGATGGTTGGATACTGCCCTTACTGCACCCAGGCAATATATGCTCTATTCCTTCCATTTCTCAGTCTCATTAAATTTGTGCTGCATCATACTCTGAGTCTCTTTGTATTGTTTTCTATTCCCAGCCCCTCTTCCAGCTTGCCTGCCTTGGAGCAGGTCTTGCTGCAAGTCTTCAGTGTCCAAAATACAGTATAAAGATGTTCAAGACAATTGGCAAAGGAGAGTAGACACATCTCTGGTCTGTGTTGACAGAGATGGCTTTGATAAGGAACAAGAACGGTGGAATAAACTCATTTGAGAAAGGGAACAAGCTGTCTCTTTGAAGCAGAATAGGCTAATTTGAGGGAAAAGCTTGTAGGGAGGAACTCCTAATCCCTCTGTAGACTCATGGAAAAGACTATGAAGTAGATGGGGCAGGAGATATGTCAGGAAAATCTAGATGGGCATGAGGAACACTAGCAATTATGGGGATGAACCACTTTCTGAAGTGTTACATCTAGGTTTGACCTCAGTTTGCTGTATAAATAGGGTACGAAAGGGGATGAAGAGAGGAGGAAGAGAAGACTGAATGGTGTTATTGCCACCAACTCGGCACCTGACATTTGCTGAACTAGAAAGCAGATCTGAGAGAAAGATATTAAAAGATTTAAAGTTCTGACCCTTTCCCACAATTTCCTTATAAACTGTCTCCTATCTGCTGTGCCTAAGAAATCTGAACGTTTGGGGCCCTTGCTTTCTTCTAGTTTTGTTGTTTGTGTTGTATTAAATGTTGTTTTTCCATAGACTGTAAGCCTTGGGCCCTGTAGGGGAAAAGGTTGAAACAGGGGATGACTCCGTGTCCCATCTGCCCATGCAGCTCCCAGCCTATCTGTGATGCTCCTTGCTTGGAGCTGGTGTCTGTACAGACTGATGTTGAACTGTAATTAAGCCTGAGAAAAGATGTTGACACAGTTATATTGACTACGGTCATTAGCAAGGCTAAATTAAAGGCAGCACATTGGTTCCACAAAATAATTCATATTTTCAAGGAGACAGATTTATTAATAAACAACAGAACAGACTGGAAACCTCACAATTTGATATTATAATGCAGCAGAAGGCTAGCCAGAATTAAATGTTTGGCCGTCTTGACTGTGGAGAACTCATCCTTCCTTTGCAGCTCTAGGAAAGCAGCTGTCTCCTATGGATGCCAGCCTATATACCGACCTATAGATATCAAATCTAGTAGCGCTGAGTCAAAATTTCGCAGTTTTGGAGGGGCTGGAAGCTCACACAGCCCTTGGTGCAGGGACTAAGGTCTCTGAGAGGGATGAGAGGTGAGACGGGGATGGGGGCAGGGGCTAGTGAAAAGTTTCTTATCCCCTTAGTGAAAAGTTTCTCTGTTTCGCTTTGCAGCAAAACTTCGCTAATTTGTTGCTAAAAAGTATCAGAGTTACAACATTGCAGTCCTTGCCCTTCCTTTACTCTCTGGAGAGTCCCACCGAGTGCAGGCCTGCAAAAACACAGGCTCTTCGGCAGCCTGCTGGCGATAACATGGAATAATGCAGAATAAAACAGGTTTCTGCATTATAAGGAACAATGAGGAGCAGCAAACACCTGCTCCAAGCAAAAGAGTGGCCAGTATTTTCCTAAGTTTCTCCACTCATGGCTGATACCTGCTGCTGATTGCCTGGAAGGAGCCAAATTCCGCGCAAGGAAGCAAGAGAACATCCATTGGCTGTGCTAGACACTGAGGTTTTGGTGTCACCACCACCAACACGATGTGTTTTGAGAGGAAATTTTGCTTGAAGTCAGACTGTGCTGTGTGTACAGGAATAAGAGAAGAGGGAGGGACGCTCCAAAGAGTCCAAGCTTTTTGGCATTCTCAGGCTGTCTGAAGGATCTGGGACATGCTTGCACATCAGCATGCTAGTTCCTGAATTAATTCCTTTTTGCTAATGGCAACGCTCCCACTAGTGAATTTTTCTTTTGTTTACTGTTTGTGTTTATTACCTGGACTCCTCCTGGCATTATACGAGAACCACAAGCCGCAGGGTCGCTTTCATCCTTATGGTTTGCATGCTTCAAATATGCCTGGCTCCATTACGCCGACTCCACCTTCCCAAGCTGTGGATGAGACAAAACACGATTTGGTTAGGAATTTTGTTGGCTCTTCAGGATTTTTGCCTCTCTGGCCTTTGAGATTACCCCCGACTGACACAGTTGGAGCTTTTAATTTAAGTCGTGAGTGTGCAGTTTCTTCCCTGATAAATGCAAAATTTAGGTTTGCTCTTCTTTTTAACATGCCAAAGAGCAAAGTCCTAAAGCTTTCAGCTCCTGGGTGAGGAGATCAAGCAGGCTAATATGAGGCTTGGTCACCTTCAGGAGAGGACTTGTGAATCTTTTATCTATCTATCCTATCGTTTGATGAGTTCATTTTAAAAGTATGTACTTCTGCTATGGTCAGTACATTGCTACAGAGGGATATATTTTTGCATTTTGCTACTAGGGAGAGGTTTTGTGTGGATAAAAGCACTGAGAAATGACTGGTAAACCTGAAGGGCTGAGGGCTTCACCCATAATGTTGCTGATTGTGGCAGTATCTGTGTTATCATCACATATATAACAGCAGGCAGTAGCTGATAGCCAGAACATGATTTTTAAACATTTGATTTTGTGGGCACAAATACCTATGTTTTAAAGGGGAAAAAAATAAAAATAAAATAAATAAATAAAGAAGAAGAAGAAGAAAAAGTCAGTTTCTGAAGCCATATAATGCAATGTAGCTTCTGCAATGCAATTAGTCATCCTGCTCACAGATTTTGGAAGTGTATTATTATCCAGATGATATTCAAGTATTGTCACATACTTCTTTTTTTTTTTTTTTTGATAATGCAAAATTTGCATGTCTGAGCCACTAAAGAAAATGTGCTGTGAACTCTGAAGGTCTTTGTTCTTCAAAAGTGTACAATCAACATTTATTTCCCAGGAGATCTTCATGAATATACTCACAATTTAAAGACAATTTACATGTCTCTAGAAAACTCATTAAAACATTAGCAGAGGAGAGACTGGAGTACTAATCCCTGCCCTAAAGTCTGCTTATGCATTGCATTCAGCTACTTTTTAATCTAGAAATTGTCTTTGAAAAAGAAATTGAAATGTTGCACATTGCAATGCTCTTTATGACCATGCAAAATGAAGATAAAATTATCTGCTTTCAAGAGAAAAAAAAGTTGATGAACATTATGCATACTTGGCACTTCTATAGGTAGCTACCATTAATTTGGAGTAAAATTTTGTATAATAATGTAAGACACAGTAGGGCAGCAGAATGGCAAAAGAGCAGATGTAAAATTATCTGGCAATTTAATGATGTCTTAGGCAAGCTTGGGCAGAACTTGATGTGCTGATGTCTCTGAGTTGTCTAAAATCTACCTGCAGCCTCAATCTGACCTTAATTATTTTCCTGGAGTTAGATGAAGGGATAAAGCTAAGGCTGCATAGTCCTTAGATTAAGGACCTGAAAAAAACACAGTCTCTAAATTGAAGGCCTGTATCTCAAAGTCCTTCCTGGACGTTGACTATTAAACCATTAGGTTGGGCCCCTGATGCTCTTTGGTCCTGTCTCCCAAGTCAAGGAAGTAAAACGATTGACTCCCTTTGGTAACTGGCTTCCCAGAAGGGACCTTGGAGAGCAAATCAGTGTGATTGACTCTGGAAGCGCTGTTGGAATCAGCCTGACTTTTTGTATTTGTACAACAGTCTGGCTATTCGAAAGAATTTTGATGTATCGATCAAAAATACCAACCTCTGGCCTTTTCAGAGCTCTGCTTCTCAACCACTTGCACTCTCCAAAGGGGGAGCGGGAAGTCACAGGGGAGTATTTAAATCATATACTTCTCAATATATATATTCATCTATGTTGAATGACACACACTGCACTTTCCTTAGGATTCAAAGCAATTTCTTTAGCAACTCAGCTGACCAGGAATTAACCGGGCTCATAAGATTTTAAGATAAAAGAAACTTCTGTGGTGGAAGGCACATATTACAGCAAGGAAATTTAAATGTGGTAATAAACACAAACAGTGAGGAAAAAGCAGCTCAACAGCTGGGGATAATTTACATGCAAGAACCTTTAAAAAGTAAACAGCTCCTGCACAAAGTACGTCTCAGGTCCTCAGGCACTCTAGGGCACAGTATAAAAGCCAGCGTGGTGCGAGAAGCTCCTATCCACTTCTGCTTTCTCCTCCTTGGTGGACGGGGTAAGTCTGATCTACTCACTGTCTTTCTATGTCCTGACTTGTTGCATTCTCGATGCTTTATTTTTACCTGTTTTTTCGCTATAGCAATAGTTCTTTGTTATAGCAATACCTTATGCTCTTTATTGGGGTATAGAAAGACTTGCAAGATCTTTGCATAAAGCAGCTGGTCTTTGAAGGGTAGTGAGCATTGACTGCAAGACTACTTAAAGAGTTTTTAGATGGGTCACTCAGTTTCTATAGAGAGGATGGAAGCTATTTGCTAATCAAATAACTTCAGAAAAGGTTGGCTTCAGAGACAGGCAGAAAGCAGCTTTCTGCCCAAGACTGATATAAGCAGCAATGAGGCTGAAGAATATGGGGAGATCATGTAAGAGCTGGGCAGAATTTTTGGTGCTCCAGAGACCAGCAACAGGGAGGACAACAGCTTGCTGTCACATTTTTCAAGTTATGCTCCTTATTTCTACGCACTCAGGGTTTTCCCTCACTCCGCAATCAACACTCAGTTTCTCCTATTCCCCACAGCACAGTGATATGACATAACTGCAACTTTTTTTGTGCATTTACCCCCCTGCCTTTCAGATTTACCTCCAGCCCGCAGACATGTCCTGCTATGATGTGTGTCCTCCCACCCAATGTGGCCCAACGCCGCTGGCCAACAGCTGCAACGAGCCCTGCGTGCGGCAGTGCCAGGACTCGACCTACGTGATCCAGCCCTCTCCGGTGGCGGTGACCCTGCCCGGCCCCATCCTCAGCTCCTTCCCGCAGAACACGGCCGTGGGATCCTCAGCATCCGCTGCCGCGGGGGAGGCCCTCAGCCCTGGGGGGGTCCCCTGCTCCCCCGGCAGCTCCTCGGGGCTCGGCGGCCTCGGGGGCCTCTATGGGCGGCCGTTCCACCGCTACAATCGCCGCGGGAGCTGCGGGCCCTGCTAGAGCCACCCGCGAAGCCATGAGCAGAAGCTTGGAAGCACAGCACGGATGCAGGACTGACGTCACAGCCCAGGCTTGCTGACCACCCTCGGCTTTTCCCTAAGCTCAAGGAGCTGCAGGGAGCTTGGCATAATTTTTAAGATTAGGCCTATATATGTCTTAATTTTAGTATTTCTGGTTTAACACCTTTCTCTTGATTGATGTAGTAAGAAATTTGACTTGCTGTAAGCTATCATCTTGAAATAGAGGATCAGTTTCATTAACCTTGAATCTTATTGCTTCCTGTGCTGTACATTTTTTTTTATTCTACTTTGCACTCTCATTAAAATCACAATGCATCATAGCAGGAGGCTTCTGGTGTTTTTCCTCTCCCTCCCTTTCCTCAGGGGAAGATTTGCTGCAGTGCAAGTTCAGTGCCAGGCAGATCCCTGTTGAAATTACACTACAGCAGGAGGTAATTCCAACTGTGCAGTAGCAGCAAGTAATACCACATCTCCTCCTTCCTTAAGCTGTATTTTCCCCTAACTATATCCCCAGTACAGCACAAAACAATCATTCCTGACTGAGTGGGGAAGAGAGGTTTCAAAAATACCCTGGTTATATACTAAGAACAAACAAAAACCTCCAAGAAATCTCAAATTTTGTTTTGCTCGGCCACTTTGACTGGAAGGAGCATTTGCTAACAAAGACGGGTAAATAGAAAAAACAAAGAAGCAAATAAGAAAAATACCATTTAAGATTAACAAAGCAGAGGAAAAAAGAGCATGTAAGAACCTTCCTTCCCTTGCTTATCAGCCTGTGAATGTTCCAATTACACGGTAATTGGCTGCTAAATTACCAGGTGATTTTGAGGCCTTTGAGGTGTCACCAGAAATCCTCAGAGCAATAACAATTACCTAGAGCAGCTGACACACAGGGAGGATAATGATTTTTAAATTGCTCAACAAACATACTTTCCCACAATGTTATTGATGCCTTAAGGATCCCAATTAAACTGTCATTACACATTTGGGGAAAAAGAGATTGAACAGGGCTCATTACCCGACACGTTAACATGGCCTAACATGGAGCTTTGCTCTAAGAGGAGGCCGAGGACAAATGAAAACCAGAGAGGCTCAACATGCCATGAAGTCAATCTTTAATTGAAGGAGGGCTGGAGCAAGCATTGGTGGAAAGCAAAGACAAGACAAAGCAGAAGCGTGCTGTGATGGCCATAACAGTCCTGTTGAGGACACAGGGGACAGACGGTGACTGGAATGATGGGTGACACCAAGGCCGTGTGGCCAGGGAATGAGAGAGCCAAGGGAAGTCAGGGACAGGCAGTCCCCTCCTGCACCCATGCTGGGGACGGGAGGGGATGGGTGCTGGAGCCCCCAGACGGCTCCTGCTCCATGTCTCCATGCCGTGGTCCTCGCTTCCAGGCTGGTGCTGGCTCCACACATGGTCCTGGGGGCTCTAGAAAGCCCCCCAGCTGCCACAGTGGGCCAGCGAGTCCCCGGAGCCCCAGGAGCCCCCATAGCCTGGGAAGCTCCCATAACCCCAGGAGCCCCTGGAGCCCCCCAAGCCCAAGGAGCTCCCAGAGCTCAGGGAGCCCCCAGAGCTCCACAATCCCCCCAAGCCCAGGGAGCCTCCAGAGCCAAAAGAACTTCCATAACCCAGGGAACGCCCTGAGCCCCACGAGCTCAAGGGGGTCCCTAGAACAGACGGGCCCGAGGACCCCACAATGCTGTCCTGAGGAAAGGAGCTCAACACAGGGCCCGGCAACGTCACTGCCACCGGTGGTGGGAAGATGACGGCTCTGGAGTCAGGGCACTGCTGCACACAGGGCTCGTTGTAGCTCTCAGCAATGGGCTGAGGGCAGCTCACACCGCAGGTCTCCACGGAGCGGGACATCTTCCTTGCGATCACAGGGAGCCTGCAACACACTGCAGGGAGCAGGTTTCATTTCCCCTTGACCTCCCTTCTTACTCTAAAGTAAGTTCAGGTGAGAGAAAAAGTTCTGGCACTCCAGGAACTATCACACTGAATTAGATACCTATGTCCAGGCACATACAAGACTCCCTCAACTCCATTTACTGTAAGAGCAAATAAGGTGCCTGTTTCTATACATAAGACCTATTACACAAAGCAAGGTATTCCCCCTGCATCACTGCTGCAGTTCGGAGCACAATGAGTCTCGTTTAAGACTAACTTAAACCAAGTGATGTTTTCCAGTGTTTTGACCCTTCTACCTTTACTTGCTGTAAAATGCAGAAAGTTATTTCTACAGCTCCTCCAGTCAGACTCAGCTTCAAGAAAAGGTAAGTTAAATGCTACAAAGAGATTTCTTTTTCCTCTGCTCTAGAACATCTTCCAAATCCAAGAGACACATTCTATCCTTATTAACATATAATGTAACAAAAACAACACCAAGAAGCCTAGGAAAAATACATCAATTGAGTCAAAGCAGCCTTACCTCACTGACCACAAGGAATAAGTCTGGAAATGTAGATAGAAAGGCTCTGAATGAAGCTTTTATATGATTCTCAGATTGCTGAACCACCCCTAGTGCCTCAGGTGCTCCATAGTACCCAAACAACCTCAATCTTGAGAGATTTAATCTCACTTACTTTGCACTGCCACTCCCCAGCTTTAAACACAGGTGTGATACTATTATCAATAGTAACTCATGGTCCTCAGCCTGGTGACGGAGGGGATCTTTCAGGCAGGTGTGGGCTATCAGCAGAACAGCGTGACCATCAGGGCCGCCTGCTATTTAATTATACCTTAGCTTTTAAGGAAATAAAACTTGACTGTTATAGTGCTACTGTCCTCACTGTGTAAAAAATAAACCATAGGTATCATAACAAACCATCAGTGAACTTTTGCTATGCAAACTCAACTCAATTTCCTGGGAGTAACCAAAGAAAACCTAATTTCCAAACAAGAGCCAGGCTCAAGTTTATGATTGCTGGGACTAGGTCCCTGAATTCCAGGAAACTGCCCCAATAGCAATTCAATATCCATCATATAATCTCCCTAAATATATTTCTACATAACAAAACAAAGAAGTCAACCTCATGAATGAAGCTCATATCATTGCAAATGCTGAAGTAGTAAGTCACAGCCTGATCTGGATAACAAAAGGAGTGACATCGGTCTGCATATTTTAAACAATACTGTTTCATAATCTCCATTTAATATGATAATAGCAGAAATTGCAAGCATTAAGAACGAATGAGTGTTTGTGAAGCAGCTTAAGTCATTATCTTCCAGGTGCCTCTCATTATTATCAGCAAATCCTGATGACACTTCAAAAATACAATTCTCTTACAATTTAGAGACAATTTAAAGCCTATCTTTTGCAATATCATTAAATTATCAAACAACAGTTTTGCAAATAATTGAATGATGCTGCAGAATTATCTCATTAAATATACACATCTTTTAATACTCTTTTATATATTGCCTCTTTTTTCAGTGCTTCTGGAGAATAAGATCTTTCTTTTCAGCATCCAGAAGCTGGGTTGTCACTAATATTTCTAGTAGTAATTGGAAGCATTAATAAAACTTTGTTTGTTTGTTTGCAATTTATTATCTCTTCCTTTATCATTTAACAAGTACATTAAATCAGACAGGTCTCCTTGTCTGGATGAAATTAAAAGTCTAAAACATGAACTAAAAGCTTTGCCAGGATTTACTGTCTCCTTGCCATTACTAGCTACATAGAGGTCCCACCAGAAGTGACCCTATAACACGTCAACCCTGCTATATAACAACATTTATAGATCCATAATCAAGTACAAGGATGGCTATGTGTCCTCTGGGAGCTGAAGTTCTGGTTCACATTGGGTGACCTTCACCTAGTTCCTGCGTGTGGCTCCCTAAGGCCTCTGAACCATGGCAGCACTTCCCAACCATTAAAATGGGATAAGCACTTTGCTCTTTGGCAAAGTTCCCTGAAATCCCCCGCAGTGGCGATGATTGCAGGACATGTCGCATCACACCCATGTTAACGCTTGGGAGGTACGGTGCTGAGGTGGCAGCATTAGAGCTTCCGATATCACGTTTATTTTGCAGCAAATAAGGGCTAGAGGTACAAAGGGCAACACAAAAACAATGGTCAGAGAAACATATAAAAGCCTCCAACACCCAGAGCCCTTCCATCCACTTCTCTTGCCTTCGTCTCCTGGTGAACAAGGTAAGTGCAGCTTCACTCTAGCAAGACACTATGTCTTTCTATTGCTGTTAGAGTTTATTTTATCAATGTGCTTATCATATAGATGATTTATTGTTTCCTCTTAAAATTGGTCTTATTTAGGCCAGTCTGGCACTTTCTAGTTTCTCCAATATTGAATTTGCAATTTCAGAACAAACTTCTGACCAAGGGGATCACAATATACACATGCTCTGAGATATATTTACTGGTGCAGAGATGTTGCTCTTGATTTGAACTTTATTTGAATTTGCTGTTTGTTTTTTATTCCTCCCAATTCCCCTGCTAATCCCAGCTTGGTTCATCTTGCCCTAACTGACCTTTATTTACATCAAACCTGCTCCCTGCAGTGTGCTGCAGGCTCCCTGTGATCGCAAGGAAGATGTCCCGCTCCGTGGAGACCTGCGGTGTGAGCTGCCCTCAGCCCATTGCTGAGAGCTACAACGAGCCCTGTGTGCAGCAGTGCCCTGACTCCAGAGCCGTCATCTTCCCACCACCGGTGGCAGTGACGTTGCCGGGCCCTATGTTGAGCTCCTTTCCTCAGGACAGCATTGTGGGGTCCTCGGGCCCGTCTGTTCTAGGGACCCCCTTGAGCTCGTGGGGCTCAGGGCGTTCCCTGGGTTATGGAAGTTCTTTTGGCTCTGGAGGCTCCCGGGGCTTGGGGGGATTGTGGAGCTCTGGGGGCTCCCTGAGCTCTGGGAGCTCCTTGGGCTTGGGGGGCTCCAGGGGCTCCTGGGGTTATGGGAGCTTCCCAGGCTATGGGGGCTCCTGGGGCTCCGGGGACTCGCTGGGCTTGGCCAGTGGCAGGGGGGCATCACACGTCCTCCTCTCCTCCCCG